GAAAAGAAATGGTATTCCCCTCAGGGTCCCCATAAGGGGTAAGGGCTAGGCAATTAACCAAGGGAATACCATTGCTCCTAGAGGCCGTTCATGACTGACACAAAGCCAGCCTTTCATCCTTTCAGCATGGCTCTCACACCTTAGGAATGGGACAGAAGAAGAGGATGAAGAAGATGCGGAAAGGGAAAGGAGGAGAAAATAAGAATAAGCAAAATTAGTTGAGGCGAGGGCTGAGGCTGAGGCATCTGGCAGTGTGTTTTGCATCTCCTGTGCAAGTACTGTGAATTTTGGATTAAACTTTAATCCGGAATTAACTTTTATGACGCATACAGAAGACACCATGATTCTGTGGAAAATTCCAAATTCACAGTATTCACTTTTTCTTCCATAACTCACATAAATCACCACTTTTTTAAATGTATTCCATGAGAAAAAACACTTGCCTATAATTAAAAACCAATGTCATCACATAAAACCAAAATAACATTAGATGTCTAAGTACTGCACACAAGCAAACAGGGGTTCAGCTAAATTGTACTCACAATAAATGGTACCCAAAGGGTATGACATACCCACCAGCTCCTATTAGTATTTCTTGCGGAGCGATGAGATGCATAGCATTCTCCTCAGCTGCTAGACCAGGAATGACGCTTCCAGGCCTCTATTGGGGTAATCAGATGTGTATTGGCAAGCACATGCATTTTCTTTATCATGATTGGTGCTAGGGTATACCCCTTTGTTCTAGTCTAGGGTTAACCTTCATTTGAGCGTTCCCCTGATATTAGTACTTTCCTTTTCCTTCACCATGATACAAGCTCATTTAAATATATAACATTTTTAACCTCTGCTCCATGTTAGCTTCGGAGGTATACCTTCAATCCATCTTTTATCATCTTTTATCAATATTTAGGTATAGCAAGGTGGATGGTTAAAGATGATCAATGTGCAATTCAGCCCCTCGTTGGGTAGGGCTTTGAGGACTATTTACTCAAGCAGGGATGATCAACAGGCAAGTGTAAAGGTGACATTCCTAGTGAAAAAATAATGGGAAAATTATTGTTCACCTGTTACATTATCTCTGTTCATGCCTGCTGATGTGGACCAGCCTTTAGAAAAATAAATAAATATATTCTTTGTTTTAGGATTTTATTAATTTGACATGAAACAGTTTTAAAAAATCTTCTGTAGAATCTCTACTCTCCACTTTGACTGCATTCAATCAAGATCCACAATAAAATAGATTTACAAAAAAAAAAAAAAAAAAAAAAAAAAAAAAATCAAATTACTGAAACACCGGATTGCAAATGACCCAGGAAGATTTCTATAATCAGCAAACTTTATCTACAGTACATAGAAGCAGTTTAATAGCAAAATGAATTCAGCATCTTTTAATATTTCTGAAAATAATTATGCTACAAAATACTCATTTTTCTCTAATGATCAGTAATATACAATTCATCTTATAAATTCCTAGTATTCTTCATGTAAGTAGTTGTCACTATCTCAGAGCATCTAAATTTGCCTGAATTTGCTCAATCTGATCATACAATTGGTAGAGTTGGTCTTGATTAAACTGCATGACCACAGACTCTGTAGGTCCCACTTTGGTGCTTGATGGCTCCTTGCTGTTACTGTGAGAAAACAAAAAACAGTAAAAAGTATAGTTTATCAATAAATAACTACATATATATTATTAATTGTAGTAATAATTTGATTTTTACTTTGTTATATTCACTATGGTACAGGCAGATATGACATCATAAGTACAGAAACTAACAAACTAAAAAGCAAATTATCAAAATGACACCCATTGTTGAGGTGAAATGCCCCAAGCAAAGTAATATCAACAACAACCCATTCTGCCCATGGACACTAAACAAGTGTGCCCTTTTGCAGCCACATTTATATGCCTGAGATTCACTACTATATCTGGTAACACTGTTTGTTAATAAATCTAAGCCTGTGGTTTCTTTGCTTGTGACTTCAAGACTAACTGGCACAACCCACTGTATTCTAGTAATAGCCTGTCATGTGAAAGGACCAACAAAATATTGATGTAGCTGTTTCCTTAAGGGAAAGTTATATGTGGAAAATTACCTTAGGTTCAGTTGTAAATGTGCAATGGGGTGAGTTTGTCTTGCACATCCTGATGAAGCGGTCTTCAGGTGAAGTTCCCATGAAATATCTGCCAGCTGTTGATATTGAGAAGTTATCAGTGACATTCTCTCTGAGTCAAAGATTTTCCCTTTTTCTACTTATTAAAGTTTTGATGATACCTGTTTATGCATATTCCTTTCTTTAAACATCCCCCCAAAAAATCTGCTATTAAGTATACAACCATAAGCTTTCCATTTAACCCTATCATGACTAGTCTAGCTTTTCTGACAGGGTGTGTGCTGTGTACAGCCAGCACACCCAGCCATTCGCTAAAACAAGTTATGACGTGTATACACATCATATGTCGTGACAGCTATAGGTGTGCCCATCACTTAAGGGTTAAAGACACTTCTTAAAATGTTTTCCATAGTGTACTTTCTCCAACATTTATATTATTCTCCTCTCACTCATTCCCTATCTTCCCTCCCAATTCTTCTCTCTCTCCTTTCCTCCCTTACATTTTCTCTGTATTCTCCCCTATTCTATTTCCTCATTTTCCCTCTCTTAGTATTTCATATCCTCCTCTCTCCTTCCTATCTCCCTCCTTTTCCCCTTCTCCCATCCCTGCCTCTCCATTCATATCCTTCACCATCTCCCTTTATATCCCTCTCCTCTTATATCCCTCACCTTTCATATCCCCCTCCTTTTCCCTCTCTGTTCATATCCCCCTCCCTCTTATTTCATATACCTCTCCTATCCCTTTCCTTTTGTATCCCACTTCCTTTCTCTCTCCTTTCATTTCCCTCCCCTGCCTTTCCCTCTTCCTCTCCTTTCATCCTCCTTTCATTTTCTTCTGCCACTCCCTCTCCCCTCCTTTCCTTTCCTTATACCTTCTCCTCTCTTCCTATGCCTCTGATTTTTATTTCATCTCCCTCTCCCTTTCCCTTACCCTTTTCCTTTTCCTTTTCCTTTTCCTTTTCCTTTTCCTCTCCCTCTCCCTCTCCCCTTCTCCCTCCTCCCTTAATTTCCCTGTCCCTCTCCCCCTCCCTTACCCCATCATTTCCTTCTCACTCTCCCTTCTTTTCTCTCTCCCTCCCCATTCATTACCTTATCCATTTCCCTTTCCCTCTTCCTTTACTTCCCTCTCCTTCTCATGCTTAATCAACCTTCATGTCCCTCTCCTTCCCCTTCCATTTCACTATCCCTATCCCTCTCTTCCCTTCCATCATTTCCCTTTCCCTCTTGTCCCTTCATTTCTCAGTCCCTTTTTCTCTCCTTTCATTTCAGTCTCTCTCACTCCCTAATACAAAACTGTTGACAAGTCTCACCTGTTTCTCTGATAAACTTTGCTGACGCAATGTTTCCACAATTTGTTTTGCATGTGTCGTCCAGTGTTCCACAAATACATTGGCTCTATCTGGTGTCATTTCACATGCTTGAAGCTGTTCTCCAAGGAAAATTGGTCTTACCATCCCATGCGCTGCCTGTTGGATATAAAAACAGAGAGAGAAAATATAAATCTGGATATATCATATAAAATGTGATAGAATTAGAACTAGACAATAAGTAAAAAAGATATTATGGTAAAACAATAGATAAATAACAAAAACCCACTTAGTCGAGTGGAATAATATGACCAACAACAAACCATAGTGTCTTTCTTTTTTGACTTATTAATATTTTGCTTCCATTTGTTTCATATGCAGAAAACAAACAATAGAGTGTAAACATACACTTTGGTGCTTATTAGTGCTCATGTCAATGACATTAAACACTTTTTTAAAAATTAAATACTCGAAAACTTTTCTGCACATCAAAAATGACTGGTATGTGTTTGTCAGTTTTAATGCTTTAATTCTATTCCTTAATTCTCCACAACATGCTGATAGCTAGTTCCACTGCTCAACAGACAACGTTTTCAAACTTCATGGAATCTTGTCAGTTACAAAAAGACTGGATGATATATAAAAAACAGAAACACTTTGGGTTGACCACTGTTGACCATTGAAGATAGAGTATTCCCATACCTGTTGCATGATATATATGTTGGTGTATATCAACTGTCTTGTCTTTTCTACTGGCAGACCAAGAGAAGCACTCAATTTCTCTTCTTCTTCTTCTGAAAATACCTGTAAATACACATTTTCAAATATATATATAAAGTGTGAAAAGAAGAAATTTTTATTCTTAGTAGTAATTTATGCTCATTAATTTTGATATGTTTTCATTTAAAACTAAAAATATTTACTTGAACCTATCATTACCTGTGAATGTCCAGCACAGAGTGATGCACACACACGACCAAGAAGTCCTTTAACTTTATTGATATCCGTTGCATTGATTAAGGAGATTCCCTCCTGCAATCTGTTCATATGTGGAAAATACAACAGTAAACATTCTATGTGACATAGAAAGTATAATATCAAAAAGCTTAAACTATACCAAAATAGAAGTAACATAACCCCTATTCCTAATATTTATTTGTGACAAAAAAGGGAACTTCTATATCCACAATTTGGTATATATCAAAAAAAAAAAAAAAAAAAAAAAATCACATAATAACAGTAAAGAAAAATAATTATAACAGCTAAAAAGAGCTATTGCAGTGGGATATGAAACTGCAGCTTACGACCAGTTAATATCCCCTCAGATTCAAGCCTTTGGCATCACATATAGGGACATAACAAATATTGAATAAATTAACTTGTGTGACTAACAAATTTCAAGCAATAGGAAATTATTAACCCTTAAGAGAGGCACACTCAAGTGAAGACACAAGGCAACCTTTTATCAATCTTCCATAGTAAACTAAAAATTGATTGTGGTATTTTCAAGCCTCATATTGCAACTGATCTCTAGATTTCATTTACACAAATTATTCTCATTTTTTGTGTGAAGTGAAT